AACTGTAAATATTAAACAGCAAAACCCTTTCTGAGAAGTTGAAGTCGATTTTAAATGATCAGCACTAAAAAAATATAGAAGTTAAATGCACATTTTTGCTTTCAGGCTTCACTTTTTTTTATTTTTTTTTACTGGTCTGTGAGACGGACATCTTTACGCTCGACTTTAGACAACCCACTGTCCGGTTGATTGTGAAAATATTTTGCATTTCCCTGATATTTACAGTGCCCTACCCACAGAATTTCAGATCTTGAATTACATTTGGTAAACATTAAGTTTAGTTGTTTATGTGTTGTGTAATGAGGTCATAATTCATATGACTGATTCATTTAAATGAATATTTATTTACTGAAGCTCTGTCTGAGAGTCTTTTATTCCAGATGTTTTTACTGGTGTTTTGGCTTTGTGAGCAGACAGTGACTGGTTTGATCTGAGCTCTTAGATCTTTAGGATTTGTTGCTACAGTAGGCAGATGAAATCTGCATTTTTGAGAATGTTTTAGCAGTTGCTCAGTTCAAGGTGTTCATACTGACAGACAGGATCAGTAATATTTGTAGCTTTCCTTTGAAAAGTCTCTTATGCTCTCTTATAAAATGGTAGTATAGTAATGTAATGTAAATGGATGGATGGATGGAATACTATAGAAAGAAATCTAAATAAGCCAGTTGAGTTCACTAATTGACTAGTCAATTTTTGGCAACACAGTTGATTAGTTGACCGTCGTGACCCATGACTAATGTGCCATGACATCTATTCTTGCCTCAGGTCCTGAGCGAGGCCTGACCAATCATTATTGGCAATTCTGTCACTATTGTCTTTATCAGATATTAACTGTGTTAACAGTTGGGGTTCAGTGTCTAAACCAGAATCATTTGCTTGTTCCACATCAGCGAAAAGATTCCTGTAATGTTTTTGACTGCACTTGACATACGCACATGGACACACACCTATATGCACATCTCTTTCTGACATGTCGGCTCCCACACATACACTGCGGCATAAAGGATGCAGCAGAGCATGCTGGGATACAGAATGAACCCGTTAACCCGCCACGGCCCCTCGGCTGTCTGATGCAAGAATGCCCCCTGTGGAGAAACACACACATACTCGCACATTTACACCAACACACACTCACTTTTTAATGTCTGTTTTTGAATATCTAAATAAATCTTTCATAAGCACCCAGGCAGAGGAGACGAATTTGTTCTCTGCTCGTATATTTAGTTCATGAGGTTTATTTTATTGATTTGTTTTGAGTCAAGAGATGCGTTTAATCAAAGATAAGTGATAATGCATTTGCTCATCCAGAAACGAACATTTTAGCATTGACTGAAAACGAGTTGTGAATGAATCCGTCAGTCTGGTTTAGTGAACTAAATCAACTAATTAATTGAAAAGATCCAATTCAAAGGACAATTTATGTATCAGACATCACGTTTCATGTCAAGGTTTTCAGTGAATTATGACTTATTCAGGTCTTTTTCCTTATGTTCCTCAATCTATCATATCACTTAAGAAGACTTAACATAAATGGCATGTGAACCAATTTTATGATGCTTTTTTCTTGTAATTTTGGAACTTGAAATGACAGGGTGAGTGAATAATTTCCAGATTTGGGTGAACTGTTCCTTTTAATCTTTCTTTCATGTCATTATCAGAATTGTTGTATGATTATTTAAAGAGATCCTTTTATGCTCTTTTACAAAGTCTTGATTTTGTTTTTGGGGTGTACTCGAATATGTTTTCATGCTTGACTTGTTATTTTTCACGTATTTTTACTTTATTACAGCTCCTCTTTCCCCAGTCTTGGCGAATGCGCCGTTTTGACGAAGCCCCTCCTTCCAAAATACAAAATGTGCTGTGATTGGTTAGCTGGCCCAGTGTGCTGTGATTGGCCCAGTGCGCTTTGACTCCGTTTAGCGCGTTCGGGAAGTGTCCCGCCCCTTCATAACAGCCTATTAAGGATGGTGTCAATTTCAAAACAATTCAAGCCTGTTTTAGACTTCTTAATAATAATAATAATAATAATAATAATTTGTTCTTAATGATAATAATTTGTTAACATATAATAATAATATTAATAATGTTAACAAACAAGAGGATCGTGCAGAATGGATTTCATTCACAGACAGTACAAGCATTAGCCTGGTTAAAACCAGACCATTCTCAGTTGTAACTGAGTTATGGTCTGGCAAAGAGTCATAGACAAATCATTTCCAGAGGGGCGTCACCAACGGACGTCGCGGATAGACCTAAACCCAATCAGAGCGATGAAGGAGATGACCTATGCAGAGCGGCGGAGAAACATCTCCGAGTGTTGTTCTTTGCTCGTTTTTTTAACAAAAAGGAAACGTTCAAATCGCTTAAAACAGACGCGATAGCTGATTCGAACGAGTGATGTTCGACGGCGGCATCCATCTTTGTAATGTAGGCTAAAATCTGCTTCAAAATCCCAGTGCTGTCGTCATCGTGTAAAGCCCGCCCCAACGTTTCTGATTGGTGCCGCGATTTCGACGGATTGGAAATGGGTTTGAATGAGCTCTTTGCCAGACTAACTTTCAGAGCAAATCTAAATTTGCCGGAAGTTGTCTGGGTTGTCGCTCGCTCACTCTAGATTCCGGGAGATTTTAACTAATTTGCGGGCATCAGGGAGCCGCTATCAATATGCGGGAGACTCCAGGAACTTCCGCGAGACTTGGGATGTCTGCAAAGTAAACTGTGGCTTTTTTGAAGCGCGAACGTTGTCAACATAACTCACTGGAAATCCAAAAAACTTACACACCTGCGACTTCAATGAAAGAGGAGGGGGTTCAAGTTCTGTCGATGGGTCTCCTGCATCTGCAGTTGCCATGCTATCTTTTGAATGGCTGTAGCTAAGTTAGAGGAGGTTGACCATAGACTCGCAGCTTTTCAACACGCGTGTTTTTTTCCCGCTTGGCACGCCGACCGGACGTGACATGGGGGCGTGGCAGCATCGACGATTCCAAATTTTTATTCGATCGATTCGAATTTTTTCTAATTTCGATCGATTTCGATTTAAAATCGAAATCGTGACACCCTTAGTTATAATACACCATTTAATCGTGATATTTGTCGGAAAACTATGGTAATCCAAACAGTAGCCTAATTGACACCTTTTTTGCGTATTCTGTGAGCGATCTTCATAAGTCCGGAAAAATCGTGTTGTAGTCCAAACGAGCCTTTGGTTGTAGTTCTTGAAAAGTGGATTCTGTTAAAATATCTTTTATAAATAAATATATATATATATATATATATATATATATATATATATATATATATATATATATATATATATATATATATATATATATATATATATATATATATATATATATATTTTTTAGCTCAAACAGCAATATTACACTAACTAAAGTGGAAAAAATGGAAAAGCATAATAGGACCCCTTTAAATGATATTAAGAGGAAATGGCACGGTGTGTAACTGCTGGTGTTCTGACCTGGTTTATGTGGAGTGTTTGTTGCGTGTACATGATTTGCCCTGTGCATTTCAGTGTATATTTTTATCTCTCCAACACACTGGAGAACATTTGTTAAATGATGGATGGAATCAGTGTGTGTGTGAGAGCATGCAGCTTAACACCCTGCATTTAGTATCACGCATCCAACTGTATGTCTGTATGAATGTCTAAATATCTCACACGTGTTTGAATTCAATTAAATGTGCAATAGCTTATGTGCAACTTTACTTTGGTTGATTCTGTTGTTTTAGATATCAAAGACATACACTCCAAAGACCCAAATTGTCATCTGAGATACGGAGCACTAGCACAGAGATTAGAGCGTTTTATAATCCGGAACTCTAGAGCGTCAGGAGTCAAATCCTCAGTTCTGTGCTGAATCTGATTATCAGCCCTACGCATTACACTTCTGGGTCAAATGAAACTAGTACCGGTATGTCTTGAGTATAATTCACAATGTTTACTTTTATGGAGTTAACCTTTTGACAGAATCAGTTTAGAATCTAGAGAGTTTTGGACAAGCAAGCACTAGCAGGAATGTGAATTATTATTATTTTTTTATTCAAATTCATAAGGTTTGGTTGGGGACTGTATGATGATGGAAATTGTGAAATGGCCTTAAACAATTACTAAATAAACTGCAAAACGTTTTCGAATACATTTATTTCAACATTTCTTTTGACAGCGCTGTACAAGCTCGCCCTTAGCATGTTAGATAGGGTTCAAAGTAGGGCTGTGCGGTATATCAATTATATCTTATATATTGCTTTTTATAAACTATATGGAATGAGGCAATACAGTTTATATCGATATACAGTAGTTTGATACGAGCACATCTGAAAAATAGCGGAGGACGCAGAATGAGCTGCTACGGGGAAGGTGCATAATTTACTTTGTCCTAAACATGAGCCATGCTTTGTAAGGGCTTAAAAAAACTGGTAAGATATAGTTAACACGTATAGTTTAAAGCGGCTCCGGCTTGCCCCGTCAGATGCTCTGACAGAAATATGTGCTGAGTCTGGCAGATACATACTTGCGCTGTTTAATGCATTTGAGATGTGGGGTTTTCCACAGTGCACAACTTGCATTTCACAGGTATAATTCTAATATAGGCTAATATAAATAGTCTGTACTTTTGTTTTTATTTTAATTTTTATTTTAGAGAATTTAAAAATAAAATCATTGTAATAATAATGTAACCATGTAAAAAATAATGTTAGAATGTAATGTGATTTTTTTTTTTTTTTGCACATAATAGGCTATTTATCATAGCCTGTTACATTCACTATATTTGGTTTCATACCTCAAATATGGACATTGTTTGTAGGACATTATTGGGCAGGACGTGGATTTTTTTTTTTTTTTTTTTTTTTTTTTTTAAATCCTAATAGAAAAACCAAGACAATACATAGTTATATATCGCCGTTCAACCAAAAAAGTACAGAGATGTTTTTTTTGTGTTTTTTTTTGTCATATCGACCAGCACTAGTTCAAAGCAAACCTTAAAGGAGTAGTTCACTTTTAAAAAAACTTTTGCTGATAATTTACTCACCCCCATGTCATCCAAGTTGTCCATGTCTTTCTTTCTTCAGTCGAAAAGAAATTAAGGTTTTTGATGAAAACATTCCAGGATTTTTCTCCATATAATGCACTTTACTGGGCACCAAACGGTCCAAGGTCCAAAAGACAGTTTCAGTGCAAACTGTTCAAAGGGCTTTAAACGATTCCAGACGATGAATAATGGTCTTATCAAGCGAAACGATCGCTCATTTAAAAAATAAATAACAAAGTTTAAGTTTTATAAGCTCAAATGCCCGCCTTGCTCTGTTCTGTGATGCACGTTCGTGACTCTCCTGTTCGAATCTTTTTTCGAGTCATTTGATTCATTTAACGACCGAAATGAACGAATTGACTCGGAAAAAGATTTGTTCATTTTGATGAACGAGTTCGAACAGGAGAGTCACACAGAACAGAGCAAGGCGAGCATGTGAGCTTATAAAACTTAAACGTTGTTATTTTTTTTTTTTAAATGAGCGATCGTTTCGCTTGATAATACCCTTATTCATCGTCTGGTGTCATTTAAAACCATTTGAACAGTTTGCAGTTTGCACTGAAACTGTCTTTTGGACCTTGGACCGTTTGGTGCCCAGTAAAGTGCATTATATGGAGAAAAATCCTGGAATGTTTTCATCAAAAACCTTAATTTCTTTTCGACTGAAGAAAGAAAGACATGGACATCTTGGATGACATGAAGGGGAGTAAATTATCAGCAAAAGTTTTTTTAAAAGTGAACTAATCCTTTAACAAACATTTATTGCTCAAACATTGCTTTTATCCATACTTTTGTCAAAATGATGTGGTTTGAAATAAAAATCTATCAACCTATATTGGTTTTCTCTTTTGTTTAGGGCCTTTCTTCATCAAAGTGTCTTTTGGTACATAGTGATCCGATCTATTTTAATGGTGTGAGAACAATGTAAACGCTTCTTCTCACACAATCGTATACACACCTTTCCTTAGTGTTTGCACACCATTGGTGGAGTATCAGGTGTCATGTCCTCAGGGTCACGCAACAGAACAGGTATAGTGATGTCACTCTGACAAGCACATCATGAGAGTATATGATTGACTGACAAATGTCTGCATAATGAAGCATGAGTCATCAATATTTTGGTGTGTTTTCCAAAATATGTTACATTTTAAATGTGTGTACTAGCATATAGGCGGCCTCAAAGCTAATAGACATGGACTGAAATCCAATTTTAATTGGGTCTTTAATATCAAGCCCGTGTGTTTGTTTGGTTGAGTTTGTTTGTTTAATGTTGCCATAGCACTCGCTCTGTGAATGGGTTCAATTTGAATGACAAAGCCGCTAACGGAAGCCCCTGCTGCACTGTGGGGTATTGGCAATACAGCTGTAATCATTCACATCAAAACCTTCACAAGCCAATGATTTCTGTATTATATTTAAAACTTAGGGCCGATTTCGACATTTTCAGCTCCAATTGCATCACAGATGTAATGCTGAAGTGATCTGTAGAGTGTATATGGAGGGCAGTCATTTTTTTTTAGCTAGAATTAGTTTTCTTTGATGTCTCCCCTTGAGCTGAGCCATGAAACCAAGTCTTTTTTTGTGTGTGTGTGTGGAAGACGTGCCAAACAGTCTGAGCTTCTGTTTTCTAAGAGGCTACACATCTCATTCATTTAGGTTGTGCCGTGATTGAAGTCAGGCAGATCCACGGGGCATAAACATGCTGCCACACGAATTGGGGGGAAAAATGCCGCCTGACAGCTTTTTGAATGTTTTGATCCGTCCTGGAGACGAGACGCAAGATTGAAGTAGCCAAAAATTGGAATTCTTTCATATCTGTGGCACTTTCAACTTCACTACCCTGCATGTCTAGACTTTCCGTTACCACCATCTAGTGTTACAACCAACAGTAACTAGAGAATTATGGTGCGTTCAAGTCCTCCTGGGAAGTTCGTATTTAAGAGTTGAGAAGTCGTGTTTACGAAGTCAGGTGCGTTTAAGTCACTTTCGTCGGAGCAAGATGGCTGTGTACCTTCTCTTAATTAACTACACATGGTTTTTTAACTCTACTTCTGGAAAATGAAGAACAAAGAATGTGCGTTGTCAGGTGTGTTTTGCTTTTTACAGTTTTTTTTTTATTAATTTATGAAGCCACTGTGAACTTTAGCGTTACATATGATATTGATATATTACAGCGCTATTATATTTTGTACAGGGAATTAGCTTATTTTGTTGTAAATAAAAAAGCCTGACAATGTCACTGCTAAATGGTAAATACCTATAAATATTGTGGTATTCCACCATGTTTTTCATTGACACGCCACCAACTCGTAAAGATCGGGGCTTAAAGAAAATCTACAACCGTAAATACAATCTTTTCGACATAACATGAACAGCATGAGTTAGGCCTAATGTTCAGTTGGTATCCGTAATTAAAGGTGTAGTGTGTCGACTCGTTTCTCTTCCACTAGCATCACAAATGGAATTACAACTATAATGTCTGTTTTCAAACAGGTTTCTGTCCCAGAGTTTACACTTTTGGGGAAATCGATGTATGACTGACTTGACGGAGTTGTAGCTGGGATAATTTTAACATGAAAAAGAGACTCGTCTTTAATTGCACAAATTCATTTTTGGCAAATTTAATTAATCTAATGAAAATTGAATGAAAGAAAATCTAAATAATTTTCTTTAATTGGTTTTTCAGCCAATGTGTGCACAATTTTTGGTTGCATCCAAGAATTTTAATTTCGGTGCATTTTAATTTTTGTACATGGCCATATTTGAAAAAAATTAATAATCTGACAAAATTATTTTTCTAGAAGATTATCTCCACTTAAGGATTTAACCGTCTCTCTAATAAAACATAGCATCTCATGTAGTCCCAACCCACCAACACAAGTTATAAGATGATTTGTTGCTGTGGCATCTGGTCACTCCTGTCAGATATCCTGACACTGAATGCCACAGTGACACCTGTGATGGGCTTTGTGTGTGTGTGGAGCATGTGTGTTATAATGTTTAAAGCAACAGTGCACTTTTGTAACTTTTATTTGTTTAATACTTATGGGGGAAGTTGTTGTCGGCATGGACATTTATCTATTGATATAGGACTAAACGGTCTAATTTGTGTCTGTAATTTATGAAAGGCAGCAGGCTGTATCAGATTAACTGAATATTTCTCTTTAAAGTCTTGTTCTTATCACACAGGTCCAGCCCCCTGAACTGATTCAGTTTGTGGGTTTGTCAGTTAGCCTACTTTCTCTGGCACAGGTTTTGTGCCAAGGTTAACATTTTAAATCATAATTTCAGACTGCAATTGCAATAAAACGGTTGAGGGATTTTTTAGCTTGCAATCTTAAGCTTTTATTAAAAACGAGATAAAAAAAAAAGTTCTGTAAAATGCGAGTGGTTTTTGCCTGTGTTAAAGTTGCTGTTATTATAGGGTTGCTTAGGTCCTCTAAGTGGTTTTTAGGATGTTGCTTGGATGTTCTGATGGTCACCATGTTGGTGGCTAACACGTGTGTATTGTATCTATCATGTATGCAGTGATTGGCTGGCGTCAAGACAGCAATAAAATCAAATCATTTTAAAAAAGGAAACAGCCAAGCAGGCTAAATGACATAAGTTCTAGTAGATAAATAAAATGTGTTAATGTTTGTTACACGAATGCTAATTATTTAAATTTTTCACGATTTCTAGAATTTGTACAGGCCTTACACTTTTTTTTTTATGTCAAGAATAGCCGATTGTAATGAGCAATTCATTTAATTTTACTCGTGAAGCAGATAAAGCTCTGAGTAAAATTGTCTTTCTCTGTCATTACAGACTACACAACATTACAATTATTATTATGTATATAATATATTTACATTTATATTCTTAATTATTCATTTTCCTGGTTCAATAGGGTGATCTTGTAAGAAAGTAGCAATGGCTGAGACAGACTTTCACCTTTAAAAAGACGTGGTCTAATCTTGTTTACGTGAAATAAGCCTGCTGCCAAAAGAGCAGGATCATATCAAATCGTCAACAATAATATCCAGAAAACTGAAACTTTTTTTGTTGTGCAAAAAAACATTTGATTCATTATCGATGTTAACCGTTGTACTGCTTAATATGTTTGTGGAAACCATGATAAAAAAAATCTGAATTATTTGAACAAAGTTTTTAAAAAGTACATTAAAGTCCCACTCCGATCATATTTTGAGCTATTTGTAAACATCCCCAGTGGTCTTTAAATTATGATTATGACCATTTTTAGCCAAACTCACAAAACCTGTGCCGTTTTCTGGGACTTTGCTTCAGCAGATCGGCAGTAGCTCATTAGCAATTCGCCTCTGCGTTGTGGGCGGAGCCGTTGGCACGGAGATGACCCTCCCCCACCTCGTTGCTGAGAGCTCTGTCTCTCCCGCTAGCTTACACCCCCAACCTGTCATTACCGGTGCAACAAAAATTGAGAGCAATATTGGAGCTATCCAGCCGTACAGTGCGTTTTCGTTTTAAAACGCATAACTTTTGCAACGATTATGCGCTCCTGCCGTCCACATTACTGACCCTCGGCCTCGAAAACGGAGACTGACCCCTTCAGTCGAGTCCGATGCAAGACACGCAAGTGACGCAACCCATAGCAACGAGTCATGGCAACGACAGCTCAAACCGACAGAAACATACAAGTAAACGTGAATTTTGTCACATTGTCATGTTAATTATAATCAAATGCATTTTGTTTTATTGAAAACAATATTATCATTGATATTTGTTTGAGAGGGGCACTTTCGATTAATTTTAACAAGCTTGTGGCCCCGCCCAGTGGAGTTACTACGTCACAACTCCAGTCTATTCTAGTGATGGGCGATACTGCAAATTTCTGTATCGATCCGATACCAAGTAAATACAGGGCCAGTATCGCCGATATCGATACCGATACCGATACTTTTTAATTTTAAAAGCATGCATTTGAACTTGTATGCACTTTCCTGTGCTAGAGCAGTGTGTCATGATTTATGAGGTGAATGCATCATTAATATGCTAAATCTGAACACGTTTTCATGACTACTAGTCCTATTTTGTGATTTGTGCTCTCAACTCCCCTTTAATTAGTCAGTGACTTTTACAAAACTACCCTAATTATAGTACTAGCCTACTGTTCAAAAGTTTGGGGTCTGTAAGATTTTTATTTCTCTTAGTAAAAACTGTAATATTACAATTTAACATAGGCTATCTGTTTTCTATGCCATAGTAAACTGTAATTTATTCATGTGATCAAGGCTGAATTTTCGGCATCATTACTCCAGTCATGATGATAATTCATTTTAATATGCTGATTTGCTGCTCAGGAAACATTTCTTATTATTATCAATGTTGAAAACAGTTTCATATTTTGTCGGAAACTATGAAACATTTTATGCAGAATTATTTGATGAACAAAGTTGAAAGAACAGCATTTATATGAAGTAGATTTTTTTTAACAGTGTAAAACCCTTGACTGTCACTTTTGATCAATTTAATGCATCGATCCTTGTTGAATAAAAATATTAATTTCATAAAAAAGATCTTACTGACGTCAACATTTTAAATCGTTATGTACAGTTTTGGTTTGTTTATTGCGAAATAACTCCCGATTGTTTCTCTGTCGTCTAAGCAAGGCTTCGTTTCCCAAACGCACTGGGCATGTGAGCTCAGCGAAGCACCAGCAGCGAACGCTCTCTGTGATTGATTGGTTTCGTCTTGTATACAGATGA